AATTTTTTTAAGAGTTTTCTGAACATATGTCTAGCAGGAATTTTCTGTCCCTTCGAACCCCAGCTCATGGGGAAGTTTCCCAGTTAGTTCTATTCAATGCAACCTTGGTTAGGGGTTGGGTTTTTTTCTATCATAGCCTCCCCACAAAGTGGCCAACACAACCAGAGAGGTTTCAAGTGTGTGTGTATTGAGGGGTCTGCTGCCTCCAGGTGATGGTCTTGGATGAGGGCACACCAGGGCGGCTCAGAGCTGAGCCCCTTTCTCCTCCCTCCCTGGCCTTCATCATGGGAAATGTGTCTTTTTGGCTTCTCTCATTGAGGCCTCTGGCTGCCTGCTCCTCCCCCTCCTGTCTTATCAGTCTCTTTGCCCCTGTCCCTCCAGTGCTCATCTTATCTAGACTTTGGGAGCAGATAACCTCACTGTACGACTTGACCCCAAGAATTTCTGATTCATGTGAGCTTCTCTGAGTGGGTCAGGACAGAGAAAATTGGCCCCTGATATTTTGGTGAGAAGAGGTGGGGAGAGAAGCACCCAGAAACCTCAAAGATTGATTTTTTAAGTTTATTTATTTATTGTGAGTGAGAGGGTGCGATGCTTGAACCCATGAACCGTGAGGTCATGACCTGAGCCGAAATCAAGAGTTGGATGCTTATTCAACTGAGCCACCCAGGCGTCCTAAAACCTCACAGATTTTTTTAATTTTCTAGGAAATATTTTTGGTAGTACATGGTTCAAAGATATAAAAAAAATACAAAGGCACAGACTGGAGAGCCCCTCTCACCCTGTCTCCCATCTCCCCGCCCCCCCCCCACAAGCTCACTGTGCTTGTTTCTTGATTCTCCTTCCAATTCTTTTCTACAAATGAAGCAAACATGAACATAGAGTCTCATTCCCCACCCTCCTTTTAACACAAGTGGACACATACTATAAACATCACCTTGCACTTTTTCATTTACTCTATTTGGAGATTTTCCTGTATTTGGACATCGAGAGCTTCCTTTTTGTTTAACTTTTTACAGCTGTGTGGTATTCCGTTGTCCGGATGAGCCATCATGTATGTGGGGACATTGCAATTTGTCTAATCTTCTGCTCTGAGGAATAGGTTACAGTGAATTATGTACATTTTAAACATGGGCCGATGTATCTGTTGGATAATTTCTCAGAAGGAGACAACAGTCTGTGCCCTGAATGGACATAGGTTAAATTCAAATTACCCCCCCACACACACACATATGCACACACACGCACGCACGCACCCATGCATGGATAAATTCTCAAGGGCCTTATCGTCCACAGAGCATTGGAACCAACACAAGTTCCCTTAAGCTGTGAATCCACCTAAGAAGGAGACCAAAACGTGTACAGAAATGTTCTAATTAGGACATGATCTCAAGAAATGCTTTGCTCTGTCAAACTGGCAAGCGTTGGACACAAGCTGGGAGGGTGCAGGCAGGGCAGTGTTCAGTGGGGACAGAAGGGCGGATTTTTAAGGGGCCAAGCTATCGGTGACACTGCGTGAGGATGACCATGTTTCGCTCACCTTCTCATCACTGCGGGGCCTCGGGAAATAAACCCTTGCCCTACAAGTCTGTCTGTCTGTCCATCTATGTGTCTTGCCTATGCATCAATACTATGATCTCTTTCCCCCCTTAACCAACTGGTTAGGACGGTTTGTTTACAGCTGGATGATGCACTTGGACCACTTCTCCAGAGCTGTTTCCTTGTCTGTAGAACCAATCCCATCTCCCAGACTTTCAACAGCAACAGCTCGTTTTCTCCTGTGGACCCCATGAGCACATTTTGTCGGCCAGTATTTCTCCTCCCCTCCCTTCCACACACATTTATTGAGCACGTACGGTGCCCCAGGTACTGTGCTGGGTGCTTGGACAGAGGAATATGTTCGTTTTCCTGCAGCAAGCAGCCCGCTAGAGGGGCAGATGAGCAGGAGGGAGTGACTTCTGCACACAGGAACATCCCAGCCTGGGCCTAGCCCAGTGCAGAGTTCAAGGAGCATCTGTTGAACGAACGGATGGATGGATGGATGGATGGATGAGTGAATGAGTGAATGAAAAGCCAAGCAATTTGCCTGGGCAGCCTGTCCGGCCAAGTCTGTGGTGAATGTACATTGTCTGTCTGGCTTTCGGAACAATTTTCCAGCACTCAGGGGTTCTTGCTGCCCAGGGCCTGGCTCGGGACGCTGCATGGACAAGCTTGGTGAGCTCCCTCCTCCTCCCCCGCTCCTCTCTCCTCAGGCTTCTCCCCAACCTCGTGGACAACTTAGTGAACCGAGTCCTGGCCAATGTCCTCCCTGACTTGGTAAGAACCTATCCTGGGATGGGGAGCAAGGAGCACAGACTTTCCCCAGACGGAGGGAGCGCAGTCCAGCCTCCATCCCTGCGGGCGTGCAGGTGACCCAGAGGAGCCAGAGGGCTGGGGCCTGTTCTTGGGGGTCTGGGGGGTACCTGACGAATGTGGAGGGACAGATGAGTGACGGGATAAAGAAGTGGAGCTTAAGAGTCACACAGTTCTGGTTTGAATCCCAGCTCGGGCACTTCCGAGCCACGTGACAATGGGGATCAGGAGAGCGCCTTCCCCGCAGGGCTGTGGGGAGGACAGTGCCAGGCACAGAGCACGCAGGCAGTAAACGCGGCTATTGTCATTGCTATTCCTGCGCCCCGCGCCCCAGCGCCCAGCCCCGGCTCCAGAACCTCATGCCATCTCTCCCCCCACAGCTCTGCCCCATCGTGGATGTGGTGCTGGGTCTTGTCAACGACCAGCTGGGTCTCGTGGACTGTAAGTCCTTCCTGTTTTGCGTCATTCAGCCAGCGTCTTCCAGCCCTGATTTGGGCCCAGCCAGGGAAGGCGCCGGGGGGCATAGCATGTCTGGGAGGAAGGTCCAGTGAGGTGGGGGCACCAGGCCCCTCTCGGGCCCTTAGAGCGCGGTGTGGCTGATGTCACAGGAGAGAGGCTACCTGGCCTTCCCTCTTGGCGCCAGACATGCCCCCGGAGGGAGGAGCATCCCACCTGGCCCGGTGGCTAAGTCTCTGGACAGAGACAGTGAGGCTGGTCAGAGCCCTGGCTCTTTCCTGACAGCTGTGTGGACTTGGAAAGACTCCTTCCAGTTTCCTCAACTCTAATATGGGGGGCTGGCTTCAGCCCACAGAGGGATTGGAGAGTGAATAACAGGAGACACCATGAATACCGTTCAGGTCCCTAGAACCAGGCTCCGATACCAGCCGTGGTCCACGATTTCTGAGTGAACATTCCTGGAGGCAAGCCTGCCCCGTATGGTTGTGCGGTTCACGCACAGCAGGATGGCAGGGACCTCCTTTCACATAAACTGCAACATAACGGAGGCACCTGACTTGTGAGGTGCACAGTATCTATAGCCATACAGGGCGGCCCTCTTGGGTGGCGCTCCCGTCTCTCTGGGGTCCCAGGAAGTTTGGGGATGGCTTTTGCAGATGGGTGAAATTCTGTCCTTTTGTGGCCAGGAACAAGGGAGGGAGAGCCCAGAAGATGGGGCTGTTGGTCATAAGCAGTCAGGGAAATGCCAGCTTCAACTAAGCACCACGTTGTGGAACCTTAAAACTTCCTCCCTGGTCACAGTACTCCACAGTTTACAAAGCTTATCAATATCCAGAATCCCACAGACCCCACAATATGGCCCAAGGAGTTATACAAACCTATTTTACAGAGGAAGAAACTGAGGTTCAGAGAGGCACAGTGTCTTGCCTGAGGTCACACAGCAAGGAAGAGGCAGAGGTGGGATTTGAACCCGGAACTCTTGTTCTTTTCATGCTGCCGTCTGGAGCTGGAGCCTTGCTGCCCCGCCCCCCTTGGGGCATAAGAAGGGAAGGCATCTGGGAGGATGAAGGGTGCTACCTATGACCCCACCTTTTCCTGCAGCTCTGGTTCCTCTGGGGATATTGGGAAGTGTTCAGTATACCTTCTCCAGCCTCCCGCTCGTGACCGGGGAATTCCTGGAGCTGGACCTCAACGTGAGTGCCGGGGCCTCAGGGAAGGGAAGGTGGGCAGGGGTGTGAGCGCCAGACCCATGGGCTTCTACTCAGTGTCTGGGAAGCAGTGTCGGACCAGGACCCTCTTCTGATTACTTCAAGACCTTCCAGAAGCCACATCAGGAAACACAATCGCAGCCAACACTTACCAAGTGTTCGCTGCGTGGCAGGCA